CACACACACACACACACACACACACACACACAAGCACACGCATACGCACAAGCACACGCACACACGCACACACAGCACACAACACCTGAAATGCTGGTGATCACCAGGCTTCTACTGATGGATGTGATCTATTCGTTACTAGTTGGACTGAGAGATAAAGGTGGTGATAAGTGGAAGCTGGTGACTGGGAAAGAGAATGACAAGTGAAAGAACTGGGTAGAAGGTGTATTAATAAGTGAATATTGCTGGAGAGTGGTGCCACACGCCTTTGATCCCAGCACTCAGGAGGCAGAGGCAGGCAGATCTCTGTGAGTTCAAGGCCAGCCTGGTCTACAGAGCGAGTTCCAAAACAGCCAGAGCTGTAACACAGAAGAACCCTGTCTCCAAAAGCTAAAAACAAAAAAGTAAATATTGATCTCTCACCAACTTACAGAACTGGAAGTTGTGTGTCCGTCCCCTTTGGAGCCATCGCTGGACTGCAACCACCAAAATGAAGTTCAAACTGTCTCTTTGTGACTTCTAACCGAAGCAAGAACCGCACGCAAACCACATTTCAGCACACCTTCTCACATTCGGAAGATCATGCCTTCCCCTCCAGAGCGGAGACAGAAGTATAATGCTCGATCTATGCCCATGTGAAAGGACGATGACATTCAGGTTATCGGTGGACACTGCCAAGGCCAGCAGATTGGCTGAGTGGTCCAAGTGTACAGGAGGAAATACGTCATCTACGGTGAACAAATACAGGGAGAAAAGGCCAACGGCACAACTGTCCATGCGGGCATCCACCCCAGCAAGGTGGCTATCACCAGACGAAGCTGGACAAAGACCACAAAAAGATCCCGGAAAGGGAAGCCAAGTCTCCACATGTAGGAAAGGAGAAACAACAGAGCAGATGCAGGTGGGGAGGCATCATACACAACTTTCATTAAAGACTGCTTCAGTTAAGGGGGGAAAAAAGAACATTGAAAAGTTAATTAATTTGTTAAACAAAAGTTTAGCCAGGCTTTTAAAACAAGAGCAGAGATGAACCACAGCGGCCAGGGTTATGCAATTTTTGTCTGTGATTTTAAATAACATATGTAAATGTTACCAGCTTTGGGAATTTGGTGCTCAATGTGTTAGCTGCTAAAGTTGAGTGTTGTGACTCGACCTGTATTTCTGGCACTTGGAAGATGAAAGAAGAAATCTCATGTTTCAAGCCTGCCTGGGCCATGTGAAGCCATAGCTAAGTAAAAGTTAGCTGTTAATATTATATGACACAATAAAATAATTATGTCTATTAATTATTTGTCTAGAACTGCTACCCAAATAAGCCTCATTCAATGATTTTTCAGCTGGGTACCTTAAACATGAACTAAAAGTACAAATGCCTGTATTTTTTTTTAATTTATGTGTGTGGGTATTGCCTAAAAGAATGTTTGTGCATCATGTCAGAAAATGATCTGACAGCAGATCTCCTGGAACTAAAGTTACAGATGGTTTTGAGCTGCTGTGTGGTTGTTAGGAATTGAACCCAGACCCTCTGGAAGAGCAACCTGTGCTCTTAACCACTGAACAGTGTCTCCAGCCCCCAATTTTATTGCATTAGAAGTGCACACGTGTGCATATATGTGTGCATGCACATTGTGTGTGGGTGTTTTCTGACTGATGGCACTGATCTTCTTAGTGGATGAAGAGACTGGGATTCAAAGAAGTTGTATATAGCCTAGTATCTGTCTTAGCTGGGGTTTCTATTGCTGTGAAGAGACACCATGACCAAAGAAAGTCTTATAAAGGAAAAGCATTTCACTGGAGTAACCTAAGAGTCCTACATGTTGAATTGCGGGCAGCAGGAAGTGGTCTCTAATACCGGGCAGTATCTTGAGCAAAGGAGACCTCAAAGTCCGCCTTCACGGTGACACACTTCCTCCAACAAGGCTGCACTTCCAATAGTGCCACTCCCTTTGGGAGACATTTTCTTTCAAACCACCACAGTACCTAAGAAGACCACCTTGCGTGGTGGCAAATGCTGCGATTCGTGCTGATTACTATTTCTCTGGTACCAAGGTACACAGAGGAATAGAGTTTGTCAAGTCTTATTTGGGGTTCACGTTGGCTTATTGAATCACAATAGCACAAAGAGTTATGCCGTAGATGTTTCTATGAGATTTTAAATCAGTTAGTGACTATGTAATTGGGTATCATTGCATGGTTAAGAGGAATAAATTGGTGGCTGTAACGTGGGAAATACGATAAACAAAACAGCAATGCTCTGTTGTTCCTGAGTGCTAATTGTGTTTATTAGTAAATGAAGTGCTTCCGTTTCAGCAGTCAGCATTACAGTCAAGACAACCTTATTTTAAAATGAAAAACAATTATTTCATTACAGAAACTGAGGTATGGAGATGACTAACAACGGACAAACAATGCTGAGAGGAAGCAGCTGATTGGCTGAGTGCCGCCAGGTTGCTAGGAGACGGCCTCTTCCATGCTTGTTTCCTTCCTCATTTGTTCTGGGATCTTCTTCGCAGTCTATGGCTTTGCACTCGGTTAGCTTAACCCTGATGTCAGGAAGGATGTTTGCAGATGGTCAGAGGCATCCAAAGTAGCTCACTGAGTTCTTTTTTTTTTTTTTTTGGAGAATACTTACTTGTTGGGAGCAAATAAAGTCCTGAGTGAAAGTATTTTGTTGACTTGGGCACAGCCACGGTAAGGACCCCAATGCTTCAGCCCCATCAGAATGGTAAAGCCTTCTTTGTTTGGGTCCAGGTGAGAATGTTGACAGCGTAGGCAGAAAATGTCCCTGATAGCTTTCTTACCCCCACCATGTTTACATCCTGAAGATTGCTCCCCTACGGAGTCGGCTCCTACTGAGATTAACTCAGCCTGTTTCCTTGTTCGGCTTTATGTAATAAGCCTGCCTCCATATGTGTCTATATGTAATAACACCACTTCTCTGTTCAGCTGCATGTAATAAACACATTCAACTGGAGGAGCGGAGTGGTCTGTGGTTTCTCCATTCAAGAGCTCAGCCCACCTTATCCTCCCCCCTCACTCCCCCAGGCCCCCCACCTCTCTGTATATACCTTTTTTTCATTCCTGCATTGCCTGTAGTCAGGGTTCAGGAACCCAAACTGTGCAAGGATGAGGCACTTACTCATCTCAAGGAAGGCACTTACTCATCACATTTTAATTCACTACACACTCAACACATGGCTGGGCTTTAACCAAACCAAAGTTTATGAAACAACATCCACCTTTACCAAGTGCAATGCACATGTCTCATTGTTAGATTCAGTTCTTAAATGCTCTGTTGCAGGTTTGATTGTCTAAGATAGTAGAGTTCTCCAAACAAAACTATAAACCATGTCTGTTCGTTGCAGAGGACTTGCCAAAGAGCAACAAATTCCTCAGGTTGGGCATAGGGACTTGATTATGATCTGGCAGAGAGGTTCCCAAATTTTGTACGAGAAAAAGGTACTCTAGATGACATGTATTAGAGGATTGTGTGTGTATGGGGTTGTATGTATGTGTGTACACATTTGCGTATGTGCAAGTGCTTGTTTGTGTGGAAACTGGAGGCCAGCATCGGAGTGTCCTCTGCCACTGTCCCCTGATGACTAACCTTGGTTGTCAACTTGACTGCATCTGGAATTCTCTGTAGTGCTGGGGACCCAAGTTCAGGTTTTCATACTTAGTACTTTACCCCCTGGGCCATCACCCACCCAGCCCTTACTAGACTACTTTGAGTACACATTCAGAATAATTTTTGATAGTGGTGATTATTTGATACCTATAAAAATATAATTCTAGGAATATATGTACATAAATTATCAGAAATGCTCATAAAATATTCAGTGATCATGAACTTTGTGTTTCAGAAAAAAAAATATTTGTTTCTCCAAGCTCAGAATAGCATTTTAGTTTTTGCTTCTGTGATCAAGGATTATATAATTCTACATGTCTTCATTGGTTTCTACATTACTGCACATTAAAACCATCATCCACTATTTGTGAATTCATTGTTCATAGCAGCTTTACTTATAACCACCAAAGACAGACATAAAAGACACAATGAAAAGATAAACAAAACGGCAGAACACAAGCCAAGGAATAACACTCAGCCTTAACAAGGGAGGAAATGCTAACACACGCTGTAACATGGATGGAATCCGAAGCTAATGTGCTGAGTGATGTTAGCGACTCACAAAATACACACAAAGGTTTGCTTCCATTTAGCTGAGGTGATCTGAGGTAGCCCCGTTCATAGAGACAGGGAATGGAATGGGAGGGGACAGATAGCTATGATGGAGTTTAAACAAAACCCCTGAATAATCCCCTGGGCAGCTAAGAGCAGCTATGAGACAGAAGAATGCTCTTCTGCCATAGCCCATCGTTTACTTTTTGCATAACCTGTATGAGGAACCTTATAAAATCCCCTCGAGGTCTCATGGACTTCTCTGCTCCTCACATGAGGAAGTATCAACAGGCCAGATAGTTTATGGGACTTGTGTGTGATCACAGCTCATGTCTAATCTGGAGGGAACAACTTCACAAACAATGGGAATGTAGGAAGAACGAATGGAGTTCAGGGTTTATGGACTATAAAGGGTTTGGCTTTAAACTTTAACTTTATTGTTGTATGAGAGTGTGTATATGATTTGAGTGCACACGTACATGGAGATCAGAGGACAACTCTGTGGAGTCTGTTCTTTCCTTCTACCTTTAAGTATGTTCCGGGCATTGATGTCAGGTCACTGGGATTAAACTCAAGTTGTCAGGCTTGCCTGTTGAGCACATTTACTCACTGAGCTGTCTTGACAGCCCAGGTATGGCTGACGGAAGAGCCAGGCTGTGGTGATACCTTGCTTGTGCTCTAACAAATAAAGCTTGCCTGGATCAGAGTGTAGAGCTAGCCACTAGTTAACCATAGAGGCCAGGCAGTGGTGGCACACACCTTTAATCCCAGCACTTGGCATCTCATGCCTTTAATCCCAGCTCTAGGGAGGTGGAGACAGGAAGTGATATGGTTGGACAGAGAGAGACATATAAGGAGTGAGGAGACAGGAGCGCAGCCCTTTTTCAGTCAGAGGATTCCTAGAGGTAGGAAGTCTCTCTAGTGGCTGCCCCTCTACTTCTCTGATTTTTCAGCATTTACCCCTATATCTGACTCTGGGTTTTTATTATTAGGACCAATTAGAATTTGAGCTACACCAGGCAGAGGGTGACAGAGGAGCCAGGTGGAGGGTGACAGAGGAGCCAGGCAGAAGAGTTTGAACAGAGCAGATCTGGTCAGACAGGATAACTTGGGTGAGCCCCACTGAGAAAGAAGTTAGGGTACAGAAGCAAGTGAAGAGTTTATTTCAATGATCCAGACATAAAGAGGGCAGAGGGCAGGGTGGGGTGGGGGAGTGATAAAGAACAGGGATTCTCAATAAAATGTAAAGTGCTGCCAAGACAGTTACTGAGGGACTGAGTACAGGCCATGAGAGCAAGAGAACTGACTTTGACCTGAGCCTCCAGAGGGGACTCTGGGGTACAACGCAAGAGCCTTTGGCACGGTCTATATAAGTGACTTAGCAGATTAATGTACCCATTTTCCTGTAAGATACATTGACCAATGCATAAGCCATCTGACCTATGTGGCCGAGAGAAGCCACTCTACAGTGCTCCTTCATTGTGATACGCCAACTCCTGTTCTCATCAAATGTATTATCTGGAACCAAGAGTACCAAGACTTCTTCTAAAAGCTGTGTTCTGTTTTCCCTTTTAATAATTAAGCCGAAAGGCTCTGGAGACAGCTCAGGAGGTAAAAACACAAGCATGAGGACCCAGATTTGAAAACCTGAACTCAGGCCTCCTGCACCTGTCTCTAACTTCAGTTGTGGGGATGAGACAGGCAGATCATGAGAACAACTCCCTAGCCAGCCACTCTGGCTAAAACGGTGACTTTCTGATTCAGCACCAGACTGTCTTAAAGCAGTAAGAGGAGGGCGGTAGATGAAGACACCCAGTGTCCTGACCTCTGTGTGTGGGGGGGGCACACATACCTGCACACTCATATGCATTCACCATACACAAAAAATATACAGAACGCACAGACAGATACACACACATAGAGTTCATGGATTGAATATAATGTAAAATAATGGAACATTAGTTTGAGAACAAAGAATCAAAGTCTTCTTCTGTAGGTACTGATAATGGTGACTCTTAAAAAAATACTGTTGTATATAAAACAGTTGTAGAAAAAGAATAAAATGACAAAAATATTTAACAATTGTGCCTCAGGCTTCCTGCAAATGTTTTAAACTTCTGCCTGCAAATGAATTTCGAAAGCAACGCCCCCCAGACTCAAGTTCACCCAGGCTCAAATTTCTTGCGTAAAATGACAAGAGTATTTGTATTTGACCTATTCAACTTTGTCCTGTGTGTTTCAGTATCCAGATCACTTCTAATTTCTAAATCCAATGCAAATTATATATGTACGTATATATAATAGATGTGTGTGTGTGTGTGTGTGTGTGTGTGTGTGTGTGTGTGTGTGTGTGTGTTTTAAGACAGGGTTTCTCTATGCAGCCTTAGAACTTGTCCTAGAACTGGCTCTATAGACTGGTCTCAAACTGACAGAGATCCACCTGCCTCTGCCTCCTGAGTGCTGGGTTTAAAGGCATGTGCAACCATTGCTTGGCTATAATAGACATTATATCACATTGTTTGGAAAATATTGACATGAAAAATCCTTATTCAGTACAATTTAAACTAAAAAAAAAAATGTTTTCCATCCGACATTGCTTGAACGTGTGGCTATAAAAGCCACAGATGAAAGGTCAGTTGTATATAATAGATGTTTCCAAAAGTGTTTGTCTCTCTTTTCTCTTTGGATCTTTTCTCCTTTAGTAACTGAGAAACTGTCCATTCAAATCTCTTTGAAGGTGGCTGTTTTCACTGTGTGTTATTGACTACATACTCTTAAGATGTTCACACTAACACACTTGCTTTTTAAAAGACATATTCATGTCTTCACACTAGTGCATATAGGAGCAAGGTTCCTGGTTTCGTTTCTGATGCATTTGTGAAGAATGAACTTATCTTCAAATAACCTTTAAAATTAGTAACAAATATACAACTTGCAGGACTGTAGTCATTGACCACGGAGTAGATGTCTCAACAATCTACTCCATCACTAAAGGATACACACACACACACACACACACACACACACACACACTTATTGCATGCTTTCTCTTTCTCCAGTCTCTGTGTGTCTCTCCTTTTTGTTTCCTGATTTCTAATTCCCTCCCTGCCCCAGTGCCCAGCCTTTCTTCTTCTTCTTTTTTAGTAAGAAATACAAACAATTAAAAGTATATGCACTTGGCTACATTATTCAAATTTGCAATTCTAAATCTTCTGCCTCAGGCTAGAACCGCAGATTTCTTTTTCAGGACAAGAAATAAATCCCAGCTCAAGTCTGGCTCCCCTAGCAGCTGGGTATTTAGCCATCACTCCAACTGGACATTTTTGCTCCTCCCTTGGTACTTTATTGATGGTTTCCAAGCAGCATTAACAGCACAACGTTCACTATAAGAATATTATATACCAACTTAGTTGTGACATGAATGTCATTAATTTACTGAAATTAACATTATGAACACATAATGGGGGAAATGTTCCTCAAAGGAGGACGGTGAACATTAACCATCAATAGGACGAAACTATATTTGACAGATGGAGATTAACAAGAAGAGGTTCAGTTCGGTTCAAGGGCGAGTTGAGGTCAGAGTCCTACGTCTGTGTCTTCAAAGGCCCGAGGTTTTGGATGAGGCAGCTCAGGAAGGAGTCCAGCCGATGCCTGGACCTGTACGCTATCAGTCCTCCCTTGTTGGCCCAGAGGTCCACCCCGGAAGCGCCTCTGTTTTCCATGTGATACAGCAGCTGTGGCCAGTCCAGCCCCGTTTGGGGGCTTCTCGCCAAGCACTCCTTCATGTCTGCAATGCCCCCACCCATGGCCCGCAGAATGGCGTGAGCTGCGCAGGAGTCCCACTTGTACGTGGTGTCCTCTGAGAAGATGTAAATGTCCACCAGGCCTTGGACTACACAGAGGCTCTTGTAGCCCGCCCCAGCCGCGGGGAAGACGCCGCCCCCGCACACGCGCGACAGCGCGGCTTTGATGGTCTGGTTTTCGCTGGTGCTGATGACCGCAGAACAGGGGCGGGCGAGCTCCACGTCTGCGTGTTCAGTCTGGGTTTCACCGTCGTTCCCTTTCGAGGTGGCGAGCTGCAGGGAATGGATGTTGGTCCCCATGTAAGAAAGGCCCCAGTAGTACTGTCCTTTCCACCTGCCGGAAACAGTTTTCGTTGGTGAGAAGCGTGTTTGGTTTATTGCACACCGCTTTCAAACAGAAGGAAAGGAAAAATGCCCCGGAACAAAACGAGTTTTAACGCTCCCGAGCCTATAAATGAACATCGAGCTACTAATGAGTTCTAAGTGACTGCCTGCGTTCCTGTGAGAGAAGGACCGCCGGTTTATCTCACTGTCACACCCAGCTGGGGTAACACTGGAGTACTGGTGGGATTTCTAACCTCTGAAAACAACGCCAAAGCTCAATCCTACTTCTGTCATTCAGAGTCTCGGAGGGAAAATCGACTTGCAAATCCCTCACAGGCCTCCTCTCGCGGACCTGCTCGGGCTTCTCACACCAAGAAGATGGGCTTGGGTTGTTATTTTTGGCAACAGCAGTAATAACAACTGCGTTTATCCACTTACCCTCCTGTAAGGCACTCTATTTACAGACGAGAGGCTAGGCTTAGGGAAAGCAAGTGACTTGCTAAGGTGGCCTGGATCCTTACGTGGTGGAACCCGCATCCAAAGCCAGAAATTCACCCCTGAATCTGTACTCATCCCCCACCACTTCCCCATCCTCACCCCTACCCCCCAAAGTTGGCCTCAGACTCCTCTTATATCTCTGGTGTGCTGGGCTTACAGGTCATTAATGTTTTAATGACCTTTAAAATCATTACCAAAACATATTTGGTTTGAAGAAAAGTGGACTAGAGGAAAATTCCAGAGGCTTAAACTGTTAACTCTTAGAAGGTCAAAGGATTCTTATCTGAAGTAACCCGAAGATTAAAGAACACAGGCCGTCCTATGCAATGGAAGCGGCAAGTTATTTTCAATGAACAGGGGTTCATTGCAGTTATTTTCTACTATGCCCAGGAGTCAGCTCCCCCAGCCCAGAGGCCCCTGGCCACTCTCCAGCCTGTCATCAGGGGTCAGTGGAAAGGCGGGGGTGGAGGGGTGTGGGGTGGTGGGCAGGAAGGGCACCAGTACTGGCAGTATTCGGAGGGAGTTAGAGTCAACCCTGGCCACATCTGTCAATCATTCCACTGAACACTGCACATTTGGCTCTGTATTTCTTCTACCATTATACATCTGGCAACACAGTGGTGGCATCCATCCCGTTCCAATGAATCAGAAGACAGCGCTGAGCATTAATCTGTATGTGTGGTTTTTGAGTGGATTTTAGAAACAGGAATAGGATTGCAAAGCCATAATTTCTCCATGACTGTGTTAATTTTTTTTTAAAGTATCACTGTGCACTTAAACCCAAACAAAACTCTGCCAAATCCAGGGCCAAAGAGAGAAAGCGTTTTAATTCAGCCCTGTGGACTCGCGGTGGGAATGCCCCACGGAATCCAGATGTGGGCATGCCAGGTAGTGACAATCCTAACAGGCAAGGCTGAGGCTGGACGATCGAGATGGAAAATGCCTATCTTTTACCTTAGTGTCGTCAGGTTTTGAGACGCGAAAGGTTGGTTGATGACTCCCATCAGGGGCATGCCTGTCTGGATGTCATAGACGCCAATTAAAATGGTCACACACTGAAGTCCACTGGGGAAAACTCCTTGGTTGGACTTCACGTCGGCAGAACCTTTAATGTACTGATAGGTTGAATCTGAAAAAATGAAGCAAATGTACAGGTACAGATTGTTTAGAAGATAACGGTGAATCTATTTAGGATTTTTTGTCCTTTGTAAGTTCTCCTTCTAATCTGGTAACCAATCAATTTCACCTTTGGGCGTTGCCTGCAATGAATCATTTGAGCTCTCCTACATCATGTTTCTACATCACTCAGTGTATGAGAACTTTTAAGAAGTGTGTTGTCTTGAGACAGGTCTCTAACTGGAGATCCTCCTGCCTCTGTCCTTGAAAGGGAAGGACACAGTCGCAGTCCTGTGGAGTCTGGCACAGCACCTTGCAGATGATAAGGCCTCCAAGGCAGCTAGGGCTGGGGAGATGCGTCATCGGGGAAAGTACTTGCCTCAAAGGCATGAGGACTTGAGTATGGATTCCTAGGGCCCATGGAAGTTGTCGGGCAAAGTGGACCACACTTAAAAATCCCAGTGCAGAGGAGGCAGAGACGAGGATCCCTGGGGCCGCTGGACAGCCCGTCTAACAGAATCGGTGAACTTCAGGTTAGGTGGAAAAGGAATGAGAAAGGCACACTACATACGACTCTGGCCCCAGTGTGCCACGTGACCAGCAGCACATACACACACCCCTTAAAAACGCAGTTAAATGGCCAACAACTCCTGGTAACTAGTGGGATGTTTCTTTAGAACTGTTACTAATCAGAGGACCGGAACAATCTGAGATGGAAAAGTCTCCTTCTAGGAATCCGCCAGATGTGAAATGGCCTAATTGTTGTTATCATTTGTCTACCCAAGCTGCAAGAAGGAGACAATGAAGCTGACATAATGGGAAGAGGTTCACAGTGCTTGTGAGGGTTGGTCTTGGTTGTCAGCTTGATGGGATCTGGGATCAACTAAGAGGAATGAGTCAGGGCGTGTCTGTGAAGTATTATCTGGAAGCATTACCCGAGGGGGCACAATCCTCCCTCAGAGTGGGCAGTACCTTCCAGGAGCCCAGCTGTAAAGAGGTCTGAGGAAAAGCAGTGCTGATTTTGCCTTCCTGCTTTCCTCCTTGCTGGTGCAAACATCTGCTCTTCAGCTGCTGCGAGCATCCTTCACTGACATAAGCACCTTAGTGTCTCTGGACTTCCCATACGGACCGAAGACCAATGGTTTCCAGGGATTCCCCAGGCCTTCAGTGTCCACTGGGACTGCTGAGGCTTCCAGCACTGTAGACTGAGCTGCTGGCCACAACAGTATGCGGCAGCCGCTATTGCACGGCCCAGTCCCGTGAGTTAGCACACAGTGAAGGACGTGTCTGGCCAACAACCCAGAGAGTCAGATAAACATCTCTTCAGGGTGGAACTAAGACAGGAGATCACCATCCCTCGGAACTGTAACATATGTCAATTTACCCTGACATGACCAGAGATCTGGGGGGAAATTCTTAGTGTTCACATACAACACACTGGCTGAATGTTACGTAGCTGTCTGATGTAAGGAAAAACACTGTGCACATGCTATGTGCTGTAGACTGGGGTTGTGAGAAAGTTGTCTGGCTCAGTATAATGTTTGCCACCTGCTGAGTTAAGCAGAACTTACCAGGGGGATGGGAAAGTGGGGAGACTTTCATCTGAGGACTTTGTATCGACAGGGCTGTGAGGGAAGGGGCTGCATTTTAAAAACATGTACTATAGTTACAATTCTACCCAAAAAGGACAAAAACTTGGTAAGCTTTATGTCAGCTTGCGAGTGGCCCAAGACACGTTCAGGTGCCTTGCTTGACCGTGGTTTTGACTGTTGCCTCACTGAATGAGTAGTCAATGATTCAAAGTTAGCAACTCTCCCTTAAAACACAGGTTTGCATGAACCTGTTAGGCCTGAGCTCTAAGTGGTGTACGTTATTGCCTTCTCACATTCCCACTGATTTACCAGTCAGAAGTCACTTAAAGATCGGTTAGTTCGTGTGTGTGTGTGTGTGTGTGTGTGTATGTGTGTAAGCACACACACGCACACGCCTCACAGCCATCTGTCCCTCCAGTCCCAGTGTATCTGATGACCTCTCCGGCCTCCACAAGCACTGCACACACATTGTGTACGGGTATGTGTGCACCCATACACATAAAATAAAAGTAAGGGAAAATCATTAAAGACAGTAACTTCTCTGGACACCATATGACTGTTACACCCATAAAGTCACAGCGGCAGTGGCTCCTGTATAAGACCTGCATGAAATCAAGGTAGCCGGACTTCCAGCACAGACTGGGGCTCACTCATGAGGAGCTGCTGAAGGAGGGGTGCAGGTCTTTGGGTGTGGGTGTAGGCTCCCATGCTCTAATTGGACACTAACTGGACTTTGTGAGTTTAAAAAGAAACAAACAAAAACCATGAAATTATGAGAGTAACCCATTGGGGAGGTCTGGGAGAAATTGGTGGTATGATCATATTTCATTGTACACATGTATGAAATTCTCAAATAATAATAACAACAATAATAATAATAAACGTTCCAGGAGATCTAGACTACAGTTCTAATGGCTTCTATTTCTTGGAGCTGCCCCGACCCCTCAAGAACACGTGAGTAAGAACAAAGCAGAAGTCACATATGGAGCATCAGTCCCACACTCACCGATGGGATCCACCCAAATTCCCAGAATGTCCTGCGGGACCTGGATCTCCAGGGACTCCAGAGTGGGGTCAGTTAAGTCCACATCCTGATGCACCACCTTAGCCAACGCTTCAGACGCCGGCATGTTGCCATCAAGGACTCGGCTGAGAAGCTCTGCTGTCTCCGCCTCCGTGGTCCGTAGTTCCACAGTGATCTTTTCCCCTAGAATAAAGACACGTTGGAGCCCCTGCTGCTGAGAGTTCAGGGGAGAGCAGACAACAGGAGGCAGAGGGGCAGGGAGGGGAATGGGCAGCTGAGCTGAGCTCTTAGGTCAGGGAGGGGCAGTATGTCCGCAGCAGCGGTTCTGAGACCCAGCTGACCCCCAGGATCGCCTGCAGCACTTCACAAAGCAGTGGATGCTAGGGGCTCCTGGTGGTTCCATGCTCTTCCTCTCAGTGGGGAGGTTAGGTTCCGGGACTCAGCCTGCTCCCCAGAAAAATGTCTGCAAGGGCAAAGTTGTGCATTCAAGGAGCTCCACCGAAGCTGAAACCCTTCAGCCTTCAGTGATTATTCTGCTCCTTAGTTTGGCCTTTTGCCTTTTCATGTGCATAGTTTGCTCTGTCCGTGTTGGCATGTTACCGAAAAAGACGTAGGTTCTACCCACATGCGGAAATGCTTCTACTTCCTTCTGTAATACTGCTTTTTAACAAAAATAGTGTTTATGCTCAGTAGTGTCAGATGAAACACAGTAATCTTTGAGTGCAAAAAAACTTAGCAGCTCAAAAATGACAGACAAAAACTCTCCTCTGTGAAAGCTGTTGGAAGCCAGATGTGAACAAGCCAGCTCTCCAGCAGAAGCAGAGTGAAGAGGCAGCTGGATTCCCATCTCTTGAAACATACATCTTAGGCCGTTGGTCCGGCAGCCAGCCTCCAAGGGAAGAGAAAAGGGCAGGAAGGAGGTAGAGTTAGCTGGACACGGGGGCACATACCTAAAACCCAGCACTTGGGAGGTGGATGCTGGAAAATTAGGGCTTCAAGTCCAGCCTGGGCTATGCATCAAGTGGAAGGGCAGAGCGGGCCACATAAACCCCTGTCTCCACAACAGCAAAAGGCACCCCAGATCAACACAGAGTGACCCCTAAGATGAATATGGTGAGACATGCCTATAATCCCAACACTCAGGAGGAAGGCTTGAGTTCAAGGCCAGCCTGGGCTACCTAGTGAGACCTTTTCAAAGAAAAAAGTAGGTATACAGATCCATGCGCCTCCCTACTCTAGCAGTTCCAACCAGTGGCAGCTTGCTGGAAACAACACTTCAAGCACCACCTGGATGTACTGAATTTTCAGAAAAGCCTGAGGTCATGATATGATGAGCACAGCTCATGGCCCAGTGGGAATCTATCATAGCTCTGAATTTTCACTTGTTGCTTTTGGTGCTGGGGATTCGGCCCAGGGTCTCTGGGAATGCTGAGCAGGTATTTTTACCATAGAGCTGCATCTGCAGCCCACAGCAGTGACTCTGGGCCACCAAGTAGCAGTCACTGAATATGCATTCTACTTCCAGCTTACTAAAAACCAAGGACCATTCAAATGAATAAATCATATGGTTCCTGTGCTTAAGCTCGGCCAGTTGTCTCCGTCATACTTAGTGGGAAGCCCAAGCTCCTGCTATGACCCAGCCCCACGAGTCCCAGTAAGTACAGCAGCCTCACTCCCGGGTTCTCTGTCCTTTTGCCTCTTCAGTTCTAGACAAACGAAGCGTCAAATTAACTGTTTATGAAACGGTCAAATATAGGACTGTAAATTAGAGTGTATTGTGTATTGTGAGTTAATCATAATAGTTATTTTCAACTTTTGGAAGTTTAAATAAGATTTATGTCTTCTTTCTGGGAGTCATAGGGATGTATAAAAACTTTTATATACATAGAAATGCAGATAAAAAGCCAGGGGGAATGAATGGTCCATGCCTGTAGTCTCAGCTACTCTGAGAGTTGAGGTGAGAAGAGGATTTGAGCCAAGGGTTTGAGACCAGCCTGTGCAGCTCAGCAAGGCCCCACCTCACACAGAAAATAAATAAATAAACAAACAAACAAATAAATAAATAAATAAATAAATAAATAAATAACTTTGTACAAAATGGAAACTTCTAGCCAATCCAGCTACCTCCACAGAGGTTTTGTGATGGAATGCAGAGGGTACTGGAGCAACATCATGCGTTATTTCAGGACTGAGGTATCTGATACACTCTTAGGGTCCAGGGTATCCACAGACAGGTTTAAATCCCTACCCAGACACTGTTTGCTCAGCTGTGTAGACAAACATCTTTCTGGTGCATCAGTGACCATTTTAGATTGCCAAAAGGCTATAGAATTTTTCCACAGGCTATGTAACAATTACTAAAATGCTAGAGATTTAAATTTAGAAAGATGCATGGACTGCTAAATTATTCCAAGAAACCACTTCACCTCTCTCTAGCTTAAATGTCATCATATTCTGAGGTAGAGCCTAAATGAAGTTTCACATTTAAGCATGTTATGCTGTTTATACCTAAAAGCTTCCTAGCATTCATTTATTATTAGGTGAGTTAGAAATTAGAATAATAGGATGATTAAGTTACAAAACACAGTAAGATTCTTATACTTACCCAAATCATTTGTGAACTCATTGGATTCTTCTCCAAAAATTTTCTTTCCCAAACCTGGAAACTGAAAGAGTCCGAGTTTGAAAAACAAAGAAAGGAAGGAAGAACAACACACAGCCCCACAATCAGTTCCAAGAGAGTTCAGTGAGTGTTAGATTCAAAACTCAAAAACTTTCATAGTAGGAGTCAGTCTGAGCATGGAAAATGAAGTCAGCTTGGTTCTGTGCTTAGCTGTCTCTTATTTTCCTATTCTTTTGCCAGTCTAGAAAGCCTACTCCATAGCTGAAGTCTGACTTCCTTATGTCCTGCCAGCTTTCTGCTGGAGAGCCACAGGACTGGGGACATATGTTAATCCTGCTCCTAAACACCAGCCTGTAAAAGCTCTTGTTATTGTCTACGTCCCTAAAATAATTTCATTTAAAGAAAATTTATTTATTTTTGTATTCTATGTTTATGGGTGCTTTGTCTATATATATGTCTGCACACCAGAAGAGGGCATCAGATCCATCCTAGATGGTTGTGAGCTACCATATGGGTGCTTGAAATCCAACTCATGTCCTCTGAAGAACAGCATCTCTTAATCACTGAGCCATCTCTACGGTCTCTAAAATAATTCTCTAAAGGTGGAAAAAGAACCTAGAAGGCAGTCTTAGATTTTATTTTCATTTTCAGGTACATCTCTGCATCTATGAGGTGTGTCAAAAAAAGGGGGAGGGAGAAAGAAAAGAAATACTGTAGTGACCTATGACTTAAGCATTGATACAGAGTGAACAGGGAATCATGTAGACTTTTCTCGAATCTCCATATCCGTGTTCAGATAAACACATTTGACTCCTGACCCTCAGAGACTCCTGTTGTTCTCAGGGAAGGAACTGCTTCACATACTTGAACATGCGCATTCCCAGATGCTCAAACCACCATCAAGGCCATACCACCTGCTGCTCTTTTCCTCTTTTGTGAAACAGACCTACCATGGGTGGCAATCTGCCCACTCGCCGGCCCCACACCTGTTTACAGAGCTGTTCAGAGGAATGCAGACAGAGGGGGCCTGAAATAAAAATAAAGTAGCTCCAACGGAAAGTATTTGTTTCATAAATTCTGGCATTACTTCATGAATAATTGCCTGGGCTTGTTCCAGTGCTGGGGGGAAGGTGGTGGTGGTGCACATATTAACCCATAAAACTAATGTTGATCCATATCCAATCCAGTTGCTCAACCAGCCCTTGTATCCAACTGTCTCCATAACAACAGAAAACAAGCTTCCTTCATTTAGTTTGCCAAAGCCAGGTAGTAAAAGGGCATGAAGAAAACAGTCTGTGGAGATTTCATGTCATTTATTTATTCTCTTCTCATGCCAGTGGTCAAGATTTTACTTGATTCTAAAGTGGTCCTCAAATTTAAAAAATGCATTGAAATACACAGAGAAACCCTGTCTTGAAAAACAAAAACAAAAAAAAAAAATGCATTGAAAATATTCAAGTATTTTTTTAAATTTTCTGACATAAACCTCCATCCTCCCAAATTTAAAAAAGGGGTGGTCATATATAAAAGGCAACAGAATCCCTAACGACACCAACTCGAGAACCATTTCCTATATTCAAGAACTTGAGCTGTCATGCTGTGCTGTGCAATTTCAGGCAACTTACTCAAGCTGTGACACCTGAGTCACAGGGGAATAATAGCTCTTACTGAGCAAAAATTGTTACAGGGTTAACAAGCTAGAATTCATAAAGCCGGGTACACAGTAAGCATTTACATGTATCTGCTGGTATTACTGTTCCCGGTTCAGAATATTAGCTTTAACTCATCATCTCCACACTGAGAATCACAGTCACTGCGTGTCATATTTTTATAGTAGAATGAAGGGAGATTTTACTCAATTCTGAGCCCATAACCAAGGCAAACATTAGATAAATGGTTAAGTTGATAAGCTGGGATTAATGACTTAAAGCAAGTGAGACAGGCCACGAACACACAAGGAGACTGCAACATTCCTCAGCAGCGTGTAGATTCCCTTCAACATTGGGCATGGGAGGGACCTTCAATGAGCTGTCTCTGAGAACATGGATTATTTATTAACAAGAAACGCATCAATAAATAAAGGGGCCAATTCTAGGTACTCCTGTTAGAATTCTGAGTGCTCTTATTTTGTTTGTTTTTCTATACTTCATTGATTTCCTGCAAAGACCATTTCCTTAATACTGTAATAAAAATAAGGGAGGACCAAAAGATGTTTGTTTGAATCCAAGATATCCTGAGAACCAGTACAAGGCCTGCTGTTTATTCTGAGGGGAACAGAGCTGGGGAGGCAAGCGTCTCACAGCCACCTTGGCCCTGACCTCTTACCTTGTTCTCCATGTTCTGTTTTATAACTTCCTGCACCAGCACATCCGCCAGGGTCTTGAAATCTGCAGCGAACTTCTTGTTCTTCTCTGAGTCTTTCTTCTCCTGGATGAGCAGCTGGAAGAGGGCCTCCTGCTGCCGGCAGGCCCGGGCGATGTTAGCAGCCTTCTCAGAGACGCGGAGCAGCTCCCGCAGGATGTCTGACATCTCTGAAACCTCACCCACCCTCGGGCTCTCAGCTGGAAAAGCACCAGAATGCGAAAGAGAAAGCAGTTCAGAGTGGAGCCAGGGTGCCGCTCCCACTCACACCCAGCAGGCAGCAAGTTGTCAGCATGGCTGACCAGCTAGTGAAGACCACGTTTTCAGCGTGTAAGACTGGAGTTACAATCTAAATATCGAAAATTATTTCTCAAATCTCATAAAACAATTACACTCTCAAAAAAACCCATTATCCAAACACCTGAACTTTCAGTGAAAGAAAGAAAAAAAAATCTTTGACTAAGAATCTATATCCAGAGCCCTACCAGACAGAAGTACCACAATGTCAAATGAAAGCCAGATTCTTGCAATGTCCTCAATCATAGCACAGCCTTATGGTGAGGATTAGCACAGCACTCTCTCTGTGAGAAGGGTGAGGGGTGACATTCACACTGCCACCTCCACGTCCTAAATGGCAGAGCAGCAAGCATTGTGTCCTGCATGATTCTGAGGCCACTCTTTGGCTAGCGGCATAAAGCATCTCACAGGCAACTCCACTAAGAGCATTCCAGTGACGAGTGCCAGCCTCCACCAAGTAGCAGCCTACACAGCAATGTGAGGGGAAACTTGAACCCTGCCAGGACTTGAGAAGTTCTGAACTCTAAGAACTATGTATACGCATACATTTCTCTCTCTCTCTCTCTCTCTCTCTCTCTCTCTCTCTCTCTCTCTCTCTCCTTTCTTCCTTCCTTCCTCCCTCTCTCCCTATCTCTCTTTCTCTTTCTTTCTGTGTAGCCCTGGCTGTCCTGAAACTCCCTCTGTAGACAAAGGTTAGCCTTGAACTTAGAGATCCACCTGCCTCTGCTTCCCACGTGCCTGGATTAAAGGCGTGCACTGCCACACCTAGTTGCTGATGTCTTTCTACTGGAAGCCCTGAAATGCTTCCACTTAGTGATGGCACTCCTGTCCAAAGTGTGGATCATTCTGCTCCCGTTCAGAGAGAACCTACTGTGAGAATGATCTGCCCTGTGTTAGTTCCGGAATGAAGCTTAGGGGGTTGAGTAACTTCTAAAGGGTTGCACAAGGCTAGAAGGTGGGGCTCAGAATTGCTCACACACAACACTAGGGCTCTTTATTGTCACAACAGTTTCCTCTATTAAAAGAAGCTTGAGGCTGAGAACTCACTCAGCCATGAAGACGCTGGTGCAGGGGTGTGGCAAGCTGTTATAACTAGTTTGTCTTAAGTTTGCTAAAAAAAAAAAAAAAAAAAAAAAAAAAAAAATTATGGTCTATTGCCCGAGGAAACACTTCCTCAACAGAAGTGAAGGGAAGGTGGGTAAAACAATGAGACATCCCTTCTCACTAGTCTACTCCTTTACCCTCAGCAGTCATCTCTGGAGGTCAGCAGTAGGACAGATGCCGACTCTGACAATGGACCTGGAAATACACAGGTTTCCAAGGAGCTGCTGACATGACCATAACAAACCCCGACCCATGGCCCTCTCTCATCAGTCACAGTAGCAGCTCCAAGTCTTAGCTTAATCTGTAAAGAAAATAAGAATTCAAATATTTTCATAGAAGGTAGGCTGAAATTATTTAAAGTAGGAAAGACTTTAACATTTTTTTTTGAGGCAGGTTCTCACGTTGTCCGGGCGGTCTCACGCTTGCTGTGTACCTGAGGATGACCCGGAGTGCTTGAGACTCCAGCCTCCGCTTTGAGACTAGGATGTTGCAGATATGTACCAGTTTCTAGCCTAGTTTCTATTGTCACGACTAAAAAAACTTAGAGAGAAAAGGGTTTATTTGGATTTCACTTCCTAGTCATAATCCATCCCTGAGGAAATTCAGGGCAGTAACTGAAGCAGGAACTATAGATGACAGCCTGCTCCCTGGCTTCTGCTCAGCTAGCTAGGACAACCTGAGTGAAGACAGTGTCATCCACAATGGGTTGGGCCCTTTATCAGTTAGCAATAAGAAAATGCACCACAGACATGCCCACAGTCCAGTCAGATGTAGGCAATTTTTCTTCAGTTGAGGTTCCCTCATCCTAGGTATGTCAGATTGACAATAAAAATTAACCAGGGCCACCGCATCTGGCCTAAAGATAATCTTGTATATGAGTTTATGTATGTTGGGGAGGTTTCCTGTGTACGTGGGTGTGCACGAAGGTGCATGTGTGTGTAAGTTCATGTACACATGGGTGTGCATGCATGTGTAGATCAGGGGTTGATATCTAGTGTCTTTCTTAAATACTTTCCCACTTTATACTTTGTCACTTTGAGACAGGGTATCTCATTTAACCTGAAATCTACAGATTGATTAGACTGGCTGGCTGGCCAGCAAGCCCCAGGGATCGATCTGCCTGTTTCTGCTTCCAGGTGCTGGGATCAGGAGGCATGTGGTACTGTGTTTTACATGAGGGCTGGGAGCAAGCTCAAGTCTTCATGCTTATGAACACTGTATTGACTGAGCCATCTCAACATCCCTACCCCCAAAACCTTAAACATTGGTAAAATGTAAGAATCCTGTGTGGCCTGTAAATACTGTTTTTGAGGAATGATTAATAAAGAAAAACATGAATGCTATAATATTAAGTACAGAATGACCTATGACCATATCTTTATATATATATATATATATATATATGTGTGTGTGTGTATATATATACATATATATACATATATATATCATTATGCTATCAGTTTGTATAGGGGGGACTAATAGGTGATGTTTTCAAGGTAGTCAATTTATAGTGTAATGATGGATGACTTAGACTTTTCCATAATCAGATATTCTACAGTAAATATGTAGTACATACAATTTATTTTATACATTATCATTCTATAAGAAATGACATTATTTAGTATTTTGTGTGTTAGGGGTATGTGACTGGGGACTGAACTTTGGGTCTTGCACTTTCTAGCCAATGTTTTACACTGAGCTATCTTGCTAGCCCTTTGATACTTGAGACAGGTCTTACTAACCTGCCCATGCTGGCCTTGGATATGGAATCCATGCTGACCTTGAACTTCTGACCTTCTCACCTCAGACTCCCAAGCATCTGGGATTACAAGCCCAGCTAATGAATGGCATTAAAAAAAAAAAAAAACTAAAAATGAATCTAAGAATTCTTGGGCTCCTTGATGGAATGGTCCAAGCAAAATGTGCCTATGGTAATAACAAACTTTGCAGATCAACAGGATAATACAGTTAGAACCCAAGTAACCACCGCTTCTTAGATAACTTTATTTCCAGACTCAATCCTATTAGAAGGCTCACTTTACTTTGATGTGGATGTATACACCAATAAAAGCAGCATTCGTATAGCAAACTCACTTGAACTCGAATAATTCATGGCATCTAATATATAAACACTAGCCACAAATGATTTTATAAAACAATACATATAGAGAGATGCATATATCCTCACTATAACTCATGAGTCACAGAACTATAAATTCAGGGACCACAACTTTTATTAGCAACTTGTTCTACATTATTGTAAGAGCAAAGAGTCAATGAACCAACAGTATCTAAGGTCCTTCTTATTTAGAAGCAGCATGGAGATGTAAAGTTCACTTTGAACTTGAGCAAGATACACATCAATTGTTTAAATGGCTTTAAAATCAATGTTTATTTCCCTCCCATTTTTTTTTTTAATCTGAAAAGAAAACACTATATCTGTTACCCTGTTGGGTAAGCTTCTGCACCGTTACCTCTGGGATCCCTGGGTTCCTCCCTCCTAGTCCTGGCTTATTCTAGTAATGGTCATTGTCCCATTACTAAACAAATGTTACTCAGCAAGTGCAGGAACTTGGCCAAGAGGAGAGAGCGTTCAGCTGTGAATAGTGGGCTGTGACGCACAGGGGTATGAGCTCGAGAAATTCACAGTACGGCATCTGGGTTTCCAGGTCCTGAGTCACCCTACAGCAACCGTAATCTCCTTTCTTCTGGCCCAAGACACCACTTGTCCCATTTTGTCAGGCTCCAGATGATTCTGGGTTTCTTGCCCAGTTTCAGTTGAGACTTTCTCCAGCCAGTCTGACACTTCTCAGCTCATTCCCTTTCTCTGCGGTCCCAGGAATCCAGAAAGCCACCTCCTACAGCATGCATACAAAACTTCCTAAATCTCCTGCAGTGCGGCAAGCTTGTAGTCCTTGTTTTTGGGAGACAGAGGCAGTTAAGCCCAGGGGTTTGAGGCCATCTGGGACAACATAGAAAGCCCTTTGTCTCGATGAACAACTTTATAATTAGCTGGCAGACCTCCTACTTTCTGGTGGGAAATCTCATTTCTTCTCCCAGACTCACTGTTGTTGGCCTCTGTAAGCTCCCCCCTTATCTCTGCCTTTTCATCTTGAGCTCCTTCATGCAGGTAAGAGAATTACCTAGGGCACTTCACCCTGACCTGGAATACTTGAGACAAGTTGTATATGGAAAGAATCAGGGGTAACCCCAGCACACAATTTCTTCAGTTTTCAATGGAAATTATCTTTCAAATTACTTAAAAAAGCTAATTGAATTTACACAGCCATTATTTGACTTACTCACTTAATATGGCCCTCTTTTGGGCCGGTTGGCACCTGACGGTGGGAATCTTAGTGGAACCTTATAGGAAGATGATTCATGGATAGGGTTAGGTGAAGTCTGTCGTAGGTAGTGGTTGTTTTGATTTTTAGAGGTGCGTGCATGCAAGCATGCATTATTAGAAAGTAAAGCCCTGGGCAGGCCAGGTAAGTATTTTAACACTAAGCTACATCCCTGGCCCTTGGATCTTGAGTCAGCTTAGCCTTAAACTCAGTTTGAGTCACATGTCATTTTCCCTTTTACTCTCAGAAAAGCCCCTTTCTCATAAGCTAGTGAGGAAAGCTATTGCTCTTACTCACTGTAAAGTGCTTTTCGAGGTTCTCGTTCATGGTCCAGTGACGTCCCTCTTAACCAACTGCACAACATTGGTGATGAGGGCAGACGGGGCTGTGATCATGACAGATAACTAATTCTTCTTGTAGTCATTTGCTGTTTAAGACTGGGTGGCCTCCACCCTGGAGGCTGGCAGCCCGTCTGTCTGTGTCCTCACCCAGCCTCGCCTCGGTGGGCATGTAACTCAGGCATGTCTCCCTCTTCTTACAAGGACTCAGTCAGACTAGATTAGGACCCACCCATGTGACCTCATGCCACCCAGGAGGACCTTCTTCCAGTCATTTCTCAGCATTCTTAGGGACTTGGCTCCAGGCTTTCCACAGACACCAATATAGGTGTGTGCTCAATTTTTCGTGTAAAAATGGCTCAATATGTGCATGTAACCCATACATACCCCTTGATGCTTTAAGTAATCTCTAGACTAGTAACAGTATCCAGCTCACTGTAGATGCTGTATAAATAGGTGTTCTTCTAATTTACCAATAATATCCAGCTCACTGTAAATGCTGTATAAATAGGTGTTCTTCTAATTTACCAGTAATATCCAGATCACTGTAGATGCTATATAAATAGGTGGACATGATAGGGAAACATCTGTGTGTGATCAACCCATACACACATTTTGTCAAGTATTTCCCACTTATGTCTGATTGAATCCAGAAAGGAGTGGATAAAGGTATTAGACCGCACAGTCACATTCTGAAGTTCTGGGTTCACGGCTTCAATACCGCCATGCTGGAGGAATGCAGCCCAGCCCTTAACACTTCTCCAGAGAGAGGCCAACACAACCCACCCCTCTGTCCCCAGTCTTCTCGCCAAATAGTAAAAATGGGATAGATTGTCTTCTTTGTTTGTGTGGTCAAGAAGTTTACTTCTGTGAGACGGATTTTCCAGCTAGCCATCACTCTGGCAGCCAGCCCGCTAGCAACACAGCGAAGGTTGAAGCAGCTTCCGCAGACCCTTGGTTTGAAATGACCCCCCCCCCCAGCCACTTTCGGCAAAACAAGCTTCATTCCTCATCATCTCAGACTAAACCACACATAGGTAATACGTACATCAATATCTATAAACGTATTCGGACATAAAACTGTGTCACAGTGTCAGAACTAGGATCTCTGGCTCTGGGAAGATTTGCAAGTTTAATTGGAAAATATTGGGGGGAAAATGAAGTAGGGCAGTCAAAAAAAAATAACCCGACAAACAAACACAAAACCAGACAGGGGATGGGACTTGGGGAGTCGGGGAGTGATGGCTGTCTGCAACCTGCTTGTCACACAGCCACAAGGACCCGAGTTTTAATCCTCAGCACTCAGAAGGCTGAGCATGGTGGTGCACGCCTGTAACCCCAGCTTGGGGGTAGGGGTGGGGGGCGCAGAGGAATGCAGCAGTGATAAGCAAATTCTTGAACTCACTGGTCAGCCAGACACCTGAACCAGAGAGCTCAAGATTCAGTGAGAGACCCTGTCTCCAAGAGTAAGGAAGAGAACAGCTGAAGACACCCAAAGTTGACCTTTGATTTCCGCGCGCGCACACACACACGAATGCACATATAAATGCACCCCCCCCAAAAAAAAAATCCGAAGCAAAAACCTCACTACAACAACATGACTCATTAAATCTCTACCTATTCTCTGTCTACACTGGAGGTAAGCCAGACCTGGCAGCAGACTTGCCTGAGATCCCAGCACTCAGGAGGTGGGAATAGACCAATTGGGAGTGTGGGGGGGCAGTGTTCAAGGTGAGTTCAAGGCCAACCTGGACTGCATGAAACCCTGTCTCAAAAGAAAACCAAAGCAGAAGTTTAAAATCAGATCTGGGGCTAGGGACATAACTCAGCAATAGAGCACTTGCCTCCTCAAATGTGTGAGCTCTGAGTTTGATCCCCAGTGTGAAAAGAAAAATAATATAATCAGAATAGTTTACAGGTATTTAAGAGGCAATGAGCAATACAATATGAAAGGCACAGGGGATTCTAAACCTAGTTCTGCTGTGCGGCATCAGGAAATCATTCAGCCTCTCGGAGCCTCTCCTCATCTACATTTGGAAGATAAAACTTACCTTGCAGCGATGTCTGAAGACCAAATGAGGTGTCTGGAAAGGCACTAGCACTGAGCCTGCACACAGCAGACAACAAATAGCAGCTCTGACTCTTAAATACGACCTCACAAACACCACAGTCATATGTCCTTCCTTGAGAAAGTATGAGGCTGGCAAGTTATGTGGGTCACTGAAACCTTCGTTTAAAATTTACTAGTTCATTAAATCCCAAAGCCTGGGAACTATTTGTAATGCTGTGAGCAACCCAGAATAAAGTCCCTTTATGTAGGCCAGATCTGATCGCTGCTTCAGTTTCTGGGCGTATGGGTGGGAACTCTGGCTCCTGGAGGCTGTGTGGTGAGTCTGGCCTTATGTCAGACCAACTGAGGGTGGCCTGGGAGAGACACTTTCCTATGAAGGGGGTATTTTGTCAGGAGACTCCAGAGTCTGTAGCAGAATATTTTAAGGTGTGTTACTTTTGTTTATGTTGCATTTGCTTACCTCTGTGAAGCTGTGTTACTGTGCCTGTGTAAAACACCTGATGGTCTAATAAAGAGCTGAACGGTCAATAGCATGGGAGGAGAAAGGATAGGTGGGGCTGGCAGGCAGAGAGTGTAATATAGCGGGAGAAATGTGGGAGGAGAGATCTAAGAGCTAGCAACCAGAGAAGGAGGAGGACATCAGTAAGCCACCCAGCCACCCAGCCACACAATAAGCCACGGGAAAAGAGTAAGATTTACAGAAGTAAGAGAATGGGAAAAACCCAGAGGCCAAAGCTTAGACAGGATAATTTAAGATAAGGAAAGATGGCTAGAAACTAAACCAAGTAAAGGCCGCACATTCATAATTAAGAATAAGCCTCTGTGTGTGATTTATTTGGGAGCTGGGTGGCGAGCCCCCCAAAAGAGCCAAAACAACAACAATAGGATTCTGGGGTCCGGGTCTGTCTTGTGAGAAGACCCGGCCTGCCCTTCTGTTGTCCACAGTGATAGAGCACAAGGCAGAGATGGGGCCCTCAACAAAACAGTAGGCTCTCTCACAAACAGCTGAGTAGCTCAGGGCTTTGGTTGCCATCCCCTCCTGGCAGATAACCCAAGTCTGCCGAGGCCATGTCCACGCCCCTTACACACTGACTGCCTCCCACCTACCCCCTCACATCCTAGTCAGTCATTGAAACCACCTCCTGACCCCGGCGTATGGTGGCCCTGCTTCACAGCCAGCTATGGCCAAAGGAGGAAAGGCACCCGTAGAGTACGTGGGTGCTTTAGAAGAAGGTGTTTGCTGGAATCTCTCTCAAGACCTGCAACCGTCCAGGAGTCCCCCTAAGGTGGTGAATGCCAAGGCTCTATGCAGCTCACTACTATGCAGATACTGTGGGAGTTGACTCTGTCGGCCTCTCCTTCCGCTGTCTTTGAGGCTTAGTGATTGGAGGCAAAGGAGAAGGGAGGCGCCAGGGAAATAGCTCCACAGTTCCCAGCACCCACAAGCATGGCTTACAACCAAACATCCATAACTGACACACCCCTCTGACCTCCCCAGGCACCAGGCATGCACATGGTGCCCATACACACATGCAGTCAAAACACAGATACACGCAAAATAAGTATTAAAAAAAAAAAAAAAAAAACTAAAAAAAGGGGGGGGCAGGAAACAGAATCCAGTTCCCAGGAATTTAGGGCAGGGTTCAATCCCGTGTACAGCTTGCTAATATTAACTGCACTGATGCCCCCAGAGATATCCACCTGGTCACCTGCCCCAGAGGAAACTGAACAAGCAGCTTTACCAGAGACTTGCAATCCTGACTTTCAGTTTACTGGAAACTAAATGTCTTCCTGGTTGAACTTTCTGACATTTAGTCATCAGAGACTTCTCAGGAGCCAGCATCACAGAACGAGACTGCCTCTACTGTGACCTGGGTGATATCACTGTCTAACCTTTCAACCACTGATTGCCGGCTTCTCGTCCACTGTCTCTGTGCTCTGGGAACACTACACATTTTCATATGCTGGTCATCCTGGCTCCCACGCTTCCTTTCTCTGCCCCCTTTAAGTTTCTGCCACTCTTAGAATTTTTTCCCAAGGGTAATAAACTTGAATAAGCACCTCATAAAAGATATCCAAATCCCTGACTAGAAATGGTCGATAAACAGGTGAGAAAGTTTACCTTCAAGGTAGTTGGGGAAATACAACTTAAAATCTCAAAAGGATACCACCACATGTCCAGCGGGACCGCTTACATTAAGAAGACTGAAATGTCTGCATCTGGATGGAGACTGGAGCAAGAATCTCTTGCACAGTGGTAGCATGAATGAAGCGGCACAACTGCCTGAAAAGTCCTTGTTCACATATACCAAATAATGTATGCACATATACATTAAAAGATGTCTGCCGGGCGGTGGTGGTGCACGCCTTTAATCCCAGCACTCGGGAGGCAGAGGCAGGCAGATCTCTGTGAGTTCGAGGCCAGCCTGGGTTACCAAGTGAGTTCCAGGAAAGGCGCAAAGCTACACAGAGAAACCCTGTCTTGAAAAACAAACAAACAAACAAAAAAAAAAAGATGTCTTCAAGGGGGCTGGAGAGATGGCTCATCGGTTAAGAGCACTGGCTGCTCTTCCAGAGGTTCTGAGTTCAATTCCCAGCAACCACATGGTGGCTCACCACCATCTGTAATGAGATCTGGTGCCCTCTTCTGGTGTGTGTATACATAATAAATAAAGAAACATTAAAAAAAATATGTCTTCAAGAGTATTCACAAATACCATTCTTCCAATGAGCTAACACACTGGCAAGAACTCAAGAAAGCACCGGTAATAAAATGAAGCTGCGGCAACTCACCGGGGAGGAAGGACTGCAGCAGAAAGCAGCACAGAGGAAACTCACAAAACACTGTCACTAAAGAAGGCGAACTCTGGAAAGCTGCATGTGCATTTAATTCACTCCAACTTCCGTGCATGTGTGCGTGCGTGCGTGCGTGCGTGCGTGCGTGCGTGTGTGTTTTTAACGCTTATATGGAAAGAAAAGAGCCTCCAGCAGAGCCATTTCTGGGTCCTTCAGCTCTGGTTCCTGGGCTGAGGGAGGAAAGAGGAGAGCTATATCTCTAGCCTAGATCCCTAACACACTATACATTTGTTTACTTATCTGTGCTCTGTTTGGCAAGAAACTTAAAACATACCTGATTTCTTATACCTCTCAGGGCATACTCAGAGGTGCACAGCGCATGCTGGCTGATCAGCTTCCCCTTAGCTTCATAAGCACAGAGCCCACCCTTGTCTTGGTGTTTAGCATACTTGGATTTTATCGGCACTACCCAGGAGCTGTTAGGCACATGGTCCATATTGTTTATGGGAAAGTCTAGGCACAATCCCTATTGATTATAAGAACAAATGAGAGCTCACCAGATGGCAAACAACTGGACTACATTTCTTTGAGCATTGAATCAGAATATGTAGTTATATTGCTCATTTAAGGGTGACCCAGGCTTGAAAAAATTACTTTAATTAATAAAGCACCAAAATAGTAAGTTCACTTGTTTTTGTTTTAAAAGACAATAAATATGGGATATAATGGCTGGGAATGTATCTCAGTATTAGAACATTTACTCAGCACATGGGAAGCCCTAGGTTTTATCTCCAGAAACACAAAACTAATTGATTAATCAACTAATTAATTAAAGATAAGAAAAATTTAACTGACCATGGTGGTGCATGCCTCTAATCCCAACACTAGGAGATCTCAAGGTCAAGGTTAGCCTGGACTATGCAGTGATACCCTGTCTCAAAGTAAACAAAAAGGGATTATAGACATTAATGTATTTAACATTTCCCTTTCTTCCTAACTTTCAAATGGTGTTACTATACACAGCATTTATAAACAGGTTTGTCTAATTTGTGGTAGCTCTGGAGAGGCTAAGAGACTATATTAGCCTCTGTTCCCGCCTCCATCACCACCCCCACCCCCTTACCTTTCCCACCATCAGGGGTTTACTATATAGCTCAGTCTGGTCTCATGAGATCCTCCTACTTCAACAACCTCCCAAGCGCTGGAATTACAGGCACAAGCGACTGGTTTAACTTGTAGTTTGGACTGTTGTTAATCAAATCTAGATTCCCATCCTGGCTCACTTCTCTTTTGCTGTGATAAAATGTTGACCAAAAGCAACTTGAGGAGGGAAGGAGGGAAGTATTTACTTCAGATTTAAATCCGTCATCGAGGAGAACCAGGATAAGAGCTCAAAGCAGGAACCTGGACGCAGGAATTAAAAACCTAGCCCGTGGAGAAGCACTGTTCACGGACTCGCTGTTTCTGGCTTGTTCAGCCACCTCCCTTCGTGGCCCAGACCCAGCTGTCCAGGGATGGTACCGCCCACTGTGGCTGGGCCCTCCCACATCAATTAACAATTAATGAAATGCCCCACAAACAAGCCTCTAAGAAAATCCGATAATGGCAACCCCTCCACTGTGGCTCCCTCTTCCCAGGAGTGTCGGGGTGACAACGAAGCCGACACCTACTGGTCTTCAAGTCTACTCTTTCTGGGTGTGGCGTTCTTGATCACCAAGGGAGGTTCTCAAGTCAACTTATCTTTCCTTCTGAGCTCTTCCAACACTGCCTGGAAGTACCAACTCACTCAGCACTTGTTCTTATTGTCAATGTGGACCACTCAAAGGTGTGGGAGAAAAAGTGACTGACTAGTCAATGCCTACAAATCCTAGCATGTGTCTTGGAGATACAGAATGTGCGTCCTGTTTAGAAGGCATTTATGGCTCTGGAGTGAGGACCATGGTTCCCTAGAGAGGGCCCTGCTTCCACAAAAGGGAGGGGAAAGAGAATGCTAAGGGACACTCTGCTACATTAACCCAATCTGCTTTGCCCTTCGCCTGCTGACTGTATGCCCATGACCATATGGTTTAGGTTGTAGACGACTTGTTGGCTTTATTTTTGGAAACATAAAAAAAGGAAAATATCAAAGAAGCTGGTTGGAAGAGATGGTTTCAATTCAAAACTGGTACAGTCTGTTTCAATTCAAACCTCCCCTGATCTTTATAGCTGTTTTCTGTATAAAAGAGGTCGGAGACTATCACTCAGCCTTAAAAAGGAATGAAATCCAAATACATGCTGCCATGTGGATGGACCTTGAAGATACTATGCTAAGTTAGATAACTCCACCTTAAAAGTACA